GGAAATCTCCGGGTTTGGGGGGATCGCCCCGCTGGACTTCCAGCCCCTACACCCGCTGCACAAGAAACCCCCGAGATCGCAAGAAAAACACAGCCTGCTCAAGCTGCTGCCCAGGACGGGCTGACGACATTCACGGTCGTGCTGTGTCCTTGCACCCGTGCCATTGAAGGCAGGCTCCTGCTATACTCTGCGTGCCTAAATCGTAGTTATCCCGTTACATAACCACCTGGTTTTCCCCCTGCGCAGTGTGCGGCGTGGATGCAGCAGCAGCCGTACGGCTGTCGTGCGCGCGTGCGCAGTCGGCAGGGAGGCAGCCCCACACCCTCGCTCACGCCTGAGCATAGCCTCCCAAACTCTGGTCCAGCAGAAACCAGGAGGCCAGCGCACGGTGCAGCCCAGGGCTCAAGGCACTCGCCCAGGAATCGGATGGAGGTCCTAGACCCCTCTCACCCGAAGGAGGTTGAAGCTGCATCTTGCTGGCTGCCCAGAAAATTGGTCTAACCACCAGGTCACAGATTAGGGCAGGGGCAGGCAATTACTTTGGCCCACGGGCCACACAGGCGGTTCTGGGGAGCTGCCGCCAGCCAGTAAGCACCCCCACCCCAGCAGCATGGAGCCCATGTGCCCTGTGGCTCCTCCCTGCCACCGCCAACAGCACACAGCCCTAGCCCTGACCCCGGCCCCCGATGCTCACTCCGGGCTCGCCCCAGCCGGAGCAGACCAGCCGGAGCGGGCGCGCACACCCCTGACCCCCGCCTGCCCGCACTGAGCAGTGGCAGCAGCTGGGCAGTAGCTACTGGTCGGTGTGGAGGAAAGCAGCCACCTCCCTTTCACTGCTACCAGGCCCTTCTTGCTGCAGCCGCCCGGAGTCTGTACCTAGGCTGCCCTGTGGCTCTTCTCTGCTGCCACCACTGCCTCCTCCAGGCCACCCAGCAGGGCAGCGGTGGCAGTGCAGAGGAGCAGCGAGGCAGCCCAGGTGCAGGCTCTGGGTGGCTGTAGTAAGAAGGGCCAGGCAGTGGCGAGAGGCCGCTTTTCGCCCACACCCAGCAGTAGCTTCTGCCCAGCCACCACAGCTGCCACCGCTGCTCAGTGTGGATGGGCAAGTCTGAAGGAGGCATGGGGTGGGCTGGGGTCAGGGCTATGCACATGGGTCCCTGCCAGTACCGTGGGGCTGAGGCCAGCAGCAGCTGCTTGGGCTGCCTAGAAGCAGGGTGTGTCACAGGTTGGACAGGACCTGAGCCAGGCAGGACTGAGGGACCTGCTGCAAGCCAGACAAAGTCTCTCCACGGGTCAGATCTGGCTTACGGGCCATATTTTGCGTACCCCTGGCTTAGAAGCTAGCTAGCCTAGCTCTTGAAGCTGAACCACTGCATGTTGAATCTAATATTTACTAGATAGAAAGCAGAAGAAACATTTACACACCATTGGGAACCAGGCTCCAGGCTGGAATCCAGGGTCTATTCCCTTCCAGAGTAGCATTAAGCCAGGCACTTTCTAGCATGCTTGCTTTTTCCTGGCCCCATGCAGTTTCCTCTCCCAGCTGCCCAGGGTGCCAGGTAGAGAAGGCACGGAGTAATGCCTAGCCTGCAGCCTGATGGTTAGAAGACTAAACCTGGGAAGGTCCAGGTTCAAACCCCTCTGCATGAGAGGAACCTGGGTTTTCTATTTCCTGGGTAAGAGCCCTGCCAACTCAGGTCATGGGGCTAAAGTTCAGATGGGCCTTCTGCCCCCATCTAACACTTCCTAGTAATGGGTTTTTGTGACTTGAATTTGCCTACCATAGTGCATATGGCACTGAGTACCTGCTTGGCCAGCTTGCAAGCTACCATGCACCCTCAGTAGTTATGTGGATGCTTACACATCCAAGCTGCACATGGCATTGGATCTCAAATTGTGTAAAAGTGTAAAAAATGGCAGTTCCTGGGCTGGTAACTGGTATTTGAGCAGTTAAAGTGAAATAGGATTTTGTCCTTTGTGTTTTATTTGTGTCCTTGCTGCTTGCTACTTTCTGGGATTTTGATATACATATTCAGATTAAATTCTGGTCTGGTGGAAAGGTGTTTAATCTCAGATAGCTGTGAGCAAAACCCAGGGTGCTTGAAAACTTATCTACAAACTTTTATTTGCTGATGCCTGTGCCTTGGTTGCTCATTCTTAGGAAGATATCCAAGTCATCAGCACAGGGCAGAGAGGTCCATCGAACTGCCAGAGACAGACTTGCCACTGGCAGGCAGAAATGATTGACCACCTCTTCTGGGACTGCCCATACGCCAGAGAGGTATGGAAGAAAATCTGTGCACTCCTCCTGGTGGTGACAAGTTTTAGAGACCTGACCAGGGATGCGGTTCTCTATGGGCACCTGACCAGACGCAAGGGACCCCGACAGCTCACTTCGACCAGTTTATATCCTGCTTCAGGTATGCACTGTGGAAAGCCAGGAACCTGCTCATCAACAAACACTCAGACCCCACAGTCATAGACTGTATTCAAATCGGACTAAGCAAAATGTACTGGTACTAAAGGAAAACAGAAGATGATGACGGGAAAGAAGTGGTAGACCTCATCTGGTGGAAAGGGGTCTGGCTCAGACTTTTTTCAGGGGCAGGCATGGAGATGGGTGCATGGATAAAGGGTGTGAATTGTGTAACAGGTTTTTAGCACTCTTTGATCCTGGATCTGGCCGAAGTGGTTCTGAAGCTGCCTTGGAGATCTGGCTATAGGGTATAATGGAGGAATCAATGAAATATCTATAACTCTGGTGTTTTTTGTCCAATTCGGATGAAACATGCAAGGATGGTAGCTTCTGCTGAGAGCACAAAACCCGCCAAGTTCCAAGAAGATCGGTGCAGGGGCTTGGGGGTAACTGTACCCCAAATTCTTGAAAGTCAAACTCATGCCATGGCTGTGTGTTACAACACAGGGGGGTCAAAACTGCAGGGGTGGTAGCTCTTACCGAGGCCACAAAGCCTGCCAAGTTTCAAGAAGATCGGTGCAGGGGTTTGGGGGGGAACTGCACCTCAAGCTGTGGACAAGCAAAACTCATGCCATGGGTGACCCTGTGTGCGTTAAGGTGCAGCGGGGTGACAGCTGCAGGGATGGGGGCCCCTGCTGTGACGCCTGCCAGCTGTGGAGGAGATCGGTGCAGGGGGTTCGGGGGCCCTGCACCCCTAGCTGTTGACAGGCAAAACTCGTGCCATGGGTGCTTGTGGGACTGATTATGTCGGTCTTGGGGCAGTTGATTGTCTGTATTGATTCTTTCCTCTCCTTAGTCTGGTTTTGTAGGTGCTAATTGATAGCTAATGTAGCCAGTTAATTGCCAAGTCCTGTGTATTGAGCTGGTCCCTGAGTGAATTATGACTGATTGGTAACTGGTAGCACAGTAGCTTAGCCAGGCCTGCAGTAGTGTCTCCCACGCCCCAAGAATTTGGGGTGTAGTTCTCCCCAAACCCCTGGACTGATCTTCTTGAAACTTGGCAGGCTTTGTGGCCTCAGCATAGGCTACCATCCCTGCAGTTTTCACCCCACTATGTTGTAACGCCTAGAAGTGACACGTTTTGTTTTCAAGAATTTGGGGTGCAGTTCCCCCAAGCCCCTAAACCTATCTTCTTGAAACTTACCAGTCCTTATACCCTCTACAGAGTCTACCACCTCTGAAATTTTTATCCAAATTGGGCAAAAAACAAGAAAGTTATAGATATTTTATTGTTTCCCCATTATACCCTATGGCCGGATCTCCGAGGTGGCCCTGAAGCTCTTCAGGAGCTCTGACCCGCTTCGGGAAGCCTAACAAGGCCAGCGCTTTGATCCGGGCATGCTACTTCAGACCCCGAAGCATCCGAAGCTTCTCCAGATCCGAAGCCCCGTCTGAAGCCTCGCACAGCCCTACTGCATACTCACATTTTGGACAGCCTACTAGTCTAAAAGAAGTCGGAAGATCTGTATACCAGCCTGCTCCTGCTAAGCCCAACATACTCTCTAATAGGGATGATTAATGGTATGTGCTTCAAGCT